TTAGCAGAGAATGCTGATACTCAGGATGAAGAGCGCAATTCCACTGATTCGGGTGTTCAGACCACTACGTACAGCACCCACAGACCTATTGGACCATTTAAGCCTCCACTTCACCCTTTCATCCCCCCAGACATCCTGAGACGGGAACAACAGAGAAGAACCCAGTTCTTTAAAACGGGGGAGCTACCGGGACCACTCGTCACAGATCAACAAAACTCTCTAGAGACCAAGCGGGAGCCTGAGTATGTAAGTACCACAACCAATATTTTTTCTGTCTTCAGAGCACACTGGAGGAATGTTTTTCTCTTCTTCCTCTGTGCTTTGGTGTTTTTTTCCCCCTGCGGGTGATGAAATGCTTTGGGTAGCGGTGCTGACGTTTGGCAGAGATTGTGAGCCAGTAGAATGGCATGGCAGCAAGCGGGTGCCATAGCCCTGCGGCTGACCTGGGTCAGGCGGTTGTTTGGCCACAAGGCGTCCGCGTGCCGGCTATACTGAGAGCCAGCGAATGATGGATTGGCTTATGTGAGTGCCTGTTGGGAAGCCCTGCTGCTATTTTGATCTTCTCTTTGGCCCGAGAAGTGAGCACACTGTAGTAATGGGCTTTGACTGGCTGTTCTGATTAGTGACTTGAGTACTTGGACTTGAGGACAAGCCTTTTGACTCCGTCTTTGAGCTGTTTGAATTCACTTTAGCCCCCCCAGTCTTTGTGTAAGACTTCTAAGCAGCTTTGGCAAACTGCTAAACCTTCACAAGCCAGATGAATTCATTCCTCATCTGCCACCTCTTTCATATTGCAGCCACCATTGTTTAGGTATTACAGCAAGGCAGCGTGAGTCAGCTTTATTAAAGTGTTAATTCACCAAAACATTAATGTCAAAAACCCACTGCCAAATGGCATTGCTAATGAGGAAGTATAAACGCTTTATTCGCTTTTTATCTGTCTTCAAAATGAAACTATAGAATTTCTGACGTTAAAGGAAGGTACTAAAAACTGGTGATGTCTTCCCTCATTCACAGGGTCCCTGCCGAAGAGAGATTGAGAGCATTCTCAGCAACCTCAAGATCTCCAACATTCTCAACCCCCGAGGTTTCCGCATACCAAACTGTGACAAGAAGGGCTTCTATAAGAAAAAGCAGGTGAGAAAAAGTATACCTAATAATTTGATATTTGAGTGTTTTAGTAGTGCAGTGGTTCTCAAGCTTTTTCTGGCAGGCCTCAGTACAAAAGCCAAAAGAATGCTTGCACCCCACACCCTACAGTGTTTATCGACATTTAACAATCTAAAAGAATTCAAGATGAATTTTACTTTTAAAAAAATGTCAGTGCAGTTTCATCAGCAAACACATCACAGTCAGTCTTCTTAGTTTCTCCTAGTTGTTTGTGCCCATCACCAGTGGCTCATTGCCCCCCTGGTGGGACCTGCCCAGCAGTTTGAGAATCATTGGCTTAGTGCATCCTTATTCAGTGGACATGAAGGGCTGTGCATTATTTCACGATCTGCTTAATGCAAACTTGGTTACGGAATCAAAATGCTGTAAAAAGGAAATCAGCATTTGGGGAGTACATTCATAATGATTACAAGACGAATGACTCAAACTTAAGGTCTCCTGCAGCCCAATTACAGATTTGTTGCTGTCCTCATGTATTCATTGGTAGTTATTAGAGCCTCATCATTGCACCACCACACCAGTGAGGTATACCCTAGCCACTGGCTCTGGAAACTGGAACCACAGGGACCAAACCCCAGCGGGGTTGACGGCAGGGACGATGGCCATTTAACGGAAACCCTCCCAGGGAGACAGACGTCAAGGTGGCCGCCGGCACCCCATGTGCTTGCCCCATAATTGCTGGACTTTTGAGAGGCAGACACAGAAATAGAGCCGAAGCCATCCCAACGCTCACATGGTTCACCCACGATCGGGTTGTAATAAATGAGTGGTTCTGACGCATTCATATGGAGGCACTTAGGGCTCCCGCGCCACTGCATCACAGAGGCAGCTTCCCCTATTACATAGCAGTCCCTCCCGCTTAATAGAAGTGTTCTTCTTGACCTGCAATCATCTCATAACCAGCCTTACAACGCCAGGCTCATTGTCTTTGTTTATGCAGAACGGACCTTCTGCACCGCGCTAAGCCTTTAGGCACTGAAGGAGTGGCAGAGATGTTGTGGTGTTCAGTTGAATTTGAACACTTGGATGACTCTAAGGGAAAACAGCTCTTGTTACAATGATTATTAACAGTAAATGCCTCTTAGAGGGAACATAACAAACTACCTAATAATGATTTTGGTGTTGAAGAAGATGCATTTATAAAAATAAATAAATAAATTGAGTGTACTTAAGATTTTGATTAATGTATTTGTTTCCCCAATAGACAGCCTGCGTTTTTTTGTTTTTTTTAACTTGCCGCCAAAATTTATGGTTCACTAAGAATTTTTCATTCATCATGATAAAGACTGTTTATGAAACTCTCCACCTAAGATCAGACCTCACTGAGTAAGGATGTCTCCCCGCGTGACCAGTCTCTTCTGTGCAGCAGCAAGTGTTGCTTTAGCCCTTGAAATGAATGGCTGTATGTTTAACTAGAGTGGAGGTTGACCTTTAGTAAAATTGGCAGTAAAATAACAGCCCTTGGGTAGCTCCACAGACTCTGTAAGTCATTTGTAGTAGGCCTACCCATAATTTGGAGCTGTGGGGTATAATCAGCAACAGATGATTCGTACTGGCCACCAGCTTCTGAAAATAGATCTTGGTTCACAGTTGTTCACAAACGGGACTAAGCAAATATTTTACCAGGTTTCTGTTTACCTTAAAGGTCTCTATATGTGTGTGTAACAGGAGGTAGACCATAAAAGCAGCTCAAAATACCACAGCGTGTTGGATAGCAAAGGCTCAGCACAATCTGACCATTAATGCCTCTTAACTATGCTTTTCTGCTTCATTGACTAAAGTGGCCTGTTATCCATAATGCTTCATATTCAACTGGATTTGTACATTCAGCTTTCCCACCTCCCCCCACCGGTCTTCCCTCGCTTCACCTTGTTCTCTCCTTCACTTTCAGTGCCGTCCTTCCAAAGGCAGAAAGCGAGGCTACTGTTGGTGTGTGGACAAATATGGGCAGCCTCTGCCAGGTCTTGATAGAAGGGAGCGAGGAGATACCCAGTACTACAACTCTGACAGCCAATAGGAGCAGAGCAGGATGGGAGGGAGGGAGGCTGAGATTGAACGGCAAGAACTGTAAACAAATGAAGAAACCGAGGATATTGGAAGAGAGGTCAAGAGATGGCTCAGCCGATATATGGATGTTTGCTATTTCTAACTGTTGCCTGTGGGACCTTTTTCTGAGGCACAGCGCAGAGCGCAGCAGAAGAGTACCGGGCAGAAAAAGCCTGTAGCCTCTGTACATGGATGGATTCTTCATAACCTGTTTGTCTCAGACTCAACCCGGACACCTTTTGGAATAATGTTACACTTAAAGAAACTATCTCAGAGGCCTTATTCTGATTTTAAAGCACAAAGACATGTCACAAGCAGTGATAAGAGAGCTCTTCATTTACGCACAATTAAATGGCATTGCATATGTGTAAATGCTTGTGATTTGTAATCATTATTTGTATGCTTGTGATTTGTTATAAAGCCATTGTGTTTTGTCTTGACAATGTATGTATATTTGAATAAGTAAGCATGCAGTGATTTAAGTATGAACTCCTATTTGTATGAATTCCATTATTCCGGTTGCTTCCTGCTCCAAGTAGGCAGTTGGTTGGGACCGTGCAGCTCAGACAACACAGCGCATAGAAAGTTATTTTTTACTCTGGGTCTCACGCCACGGAAAAAGAGATTTTGTTTCATGATCTGTACTGTGTGTGCGTGTGTGGGTTTTTTGTTTGTTTGTTTGTTTTGTTGTCGCTTTGCATAAGCTGAATATAAGAGATAAGGGGTCCTTACAGTTATCTCCAGTCTCTGTGTAGCCAGTGATATTTTTTTAGCACTTGTCTTGGATTAAGTGGTCAGTTTAAATATGCTGTTTGCATGTACAATGCAACCCTCAGAAGTCTATTTTTACTTAATAAAGGCAGTATAAAGTTACCCAAGTATTGTTGTTTTTAATGTTTTGTAGATAGACACAAAACAAAACTCCTTTGTGATAAAATAAGATTTTATTAAGATGCACATCCACAGAATTAGAGTATATACAACAAACCCAATAATGGAAAAAGCAGCATTCCAGGGCAATTAGCATTCAGTTGAAACTGGATCTACTGCACATGGCTACAACAACAAACAAATCGGTAAACACAAGTGAATGATAATAAATACTAGAGTAGGTAGTCAGATAAAGAAAAGGTCAAATAAAGTCCCTAATGTGAGAAGATGTAGCTGAGAAGAGGTCTCAGAAATCCTCTGCTCAAACTGTGGACCTGCAGAGACCAGCAGAGGTAGACGAATGATGAACAACCCATCCCAAACCTCAGCGTGGCTTGGAAGAGCACTGATATGTTTGTGCTAGGCCACCATGCACATACTTGTGGCACTTTAAGCATTTCACCCAATACCCATTGAGGAAACGCCAATGGAGATACATTCAGACAATGTCAACAGAATGAATGAATGAGCTGCTGTGTTGTTTGCTGCCGTGCACAGCTCTAGTTATGAATGAATTAAACAAAAATTTATCCTGAAGTCTCTCAAATGGGCTTGGCACCGTAATGGACCTGTGGTTTTGAGCAATGGAGTTATTTAGTCAGAAACACAAATGTATACAGTGTCGCCCTATATTTACAACTGAAAAAAATAAAACAGGCAAACATATAAAAGATCTAAAAATGACAAATGGTTAATGCTTGTAAGAATATACAGGCAGCGAATAAATAAGTTGATCATACATACACCACGTAAATAAGATTGGAGGAAATTTCCTCCACTCAAATAAGTTTTCACAGTTTCATTTTTGCAAAGGAGAGCCGGCTCATCAGGCGGCTGACCTCCTGTTGCTGTTAATGTGTGTGCCTTTGTGTGTGTGAAAGTTGGTTTTTGAGTGACAACAGAGTCCATCCTTCAGTGAGTAACTTCTTGATGGCACTCTGAGTCACCGACCAAGTCGCTCGATCCTAGGAGCCTCTTCCCATTCCAAGACGAGACGCACCAGCAGCGAGCGGGTGGTCCAACGAGAGATGACTCGCACTGAAAAGGAAATAAAAATGGCATCTCTCACAAATAAATCACTCATTATTTTATAATAAATCCCTTTTGGGAGTCAAAATTCATTTTGTTATGGTGAAATTTCTGAAAAAACAAACAAAAAGTTAAATTCTCACCTGCTTGGCCTTGTAGAAGCCATGCTTATCACAGTTGGGAAGGTAGAAAGTTGTGAACTTCTCTCCTAACCTCTGCTGAGAGGTGGCTATCGTGTCCAGTGCTTCGTGCAGTTCAGTGTGACATGGACCCTGTGTAGGAAGAGAAACAATGAGAGCTACAGTCTCCTAAACACAAATGCACCAGCAAATTATCTACACCCCCTCAGAGCCATCTACTCCCTCTTGTGGAAAGAGAGATGAATTACTTTGAATAACCAGTTAGTCGGATTGTTTATTTTTTCCCTCACCTGTTGCACCAGTTTGTTGCGTATGGCATTGACCTTAGCCTTGAGACTCTCCTGGCCTTCAGCAAAATCTTGGTGATCAAAGGGAAGGTTAAGTCCCAGAATGTGCTGCAACGAGCCATGGTCAGGGACTCCTCCATCTTCCTCTGTAGAATTTTTAGAAAACAGAGAGCATACATGACACATGAAATGGAATGGGGTTGCATTAAAGATGTAATTTCAATGCTGTGAACTTTTTTAAATTAATGAATATCAATATGAGCACATATGAAACAGCCAGGCTACCTTGGCGGAGGTCTACAGTGCAGATTCCTTGTCCTCTGGTCAGAGCGTGCAGTGGTCTTGCTTCACCAGGCCTGGGAGTGCAGCGGAGACCCTCAGCACAGTGGGCTGTGTGAACTCCACAGGAAGCCCCCTCCTCGAGCGCACAGGCCATGCAGCAGCCACAGCCTGGCTCCCTTAACACCTGCTTGCAGTCTGCTGGGATGGCGGGGCAGTCGTTCAGCTTCTGTTGAGTACAGGGGGCACAGCGGATGGGCTCTGGCCCCACCACCGGAGATGACCTCACTACGGACAAGACAACCAGAGCCGCCGCTGCCACAAACGTCAGCTTCTCGCTTAATCCAAACATTTCCTTCTGATGAAATTCTTTAGCTTTTCAGACGTTGTTTAAAACTGTCAGTTTCTTCTAACAAGTCTTCTCTGAACTGGCAGTATTTATATGAAAGCTTTGGCCTCCAGAAGGGTTAATAATTGACTCAGCACAGATATAAAATATTTTTCACAAAGCTGCTGTAAAAGGTGGATGACCCCGCTTGCCTTGCGTAGTTTGAGGTCATTTGTCAATATTGACGCTGGAATGCACATCAAAACAACTTTTGACGTGCATTAGTCATCTTTCTTTAACTTTAGAGTTATGAAAACAACTGAACAGTGCTGCTGAGATTCAGTACAATGATGAATAGTGAATAACGTCTTTAAGAGAGAGCATCACGTGATCCAAGGAGCTCTAGGCTTTGCGACAATGGCTTGTTAATGTTAAAAACTGTCTTATGGGTGTTGTCAAAACTTTATCTTGTGAAGTAATTCTGACAGGTTAGGTGCTGACACTGTTTTGACAGATAAAAGTCCTATTTGTCCTTTTAGTCTTGTTGGTGAAGGTTCCTCTTATCACACATGCAAACAAACAAGGTCCTCCACCTTGTTTATCTACCTGTGTGATAACCCAGTTTGCCTTGCATAACCCAGAAATGGTGAAACGACACATTTATCTGGGAAAAGATGGCAGTAAATGGCCGTTTCCTTGCTGTAATATTTGTCATAAATACCTAAGTCAAATGCCACATACCTTTAGTCATACGATGTGTGACACAAATTTCAATAGGCAGTGATCCCGTGCTTTTCATTCACCGAAGAACTTGCTTTTACCCTGCAAACTTTTAATTGCTTTTTTTTTATTTAATAATTATTCACCGTGGAAACAGATACAGTCATCAGGACCAATTACTAAAAACACAGGTCTTAATAACAAAACTATGTGTACAGTCCCGGGATAAAAATATGAAGTTAAAGAGATAAAATGCTGATGAATGTGAGGATATGGGTACAATGAGAAATAACAAAAATGAGCACATTGTGTGTGTACATTTTGCATTTAATAGGAAAGTAAAATATGTTGTCTTTGAATATCTTAATTTTTTTAAAATCTTAACTAGAGAAAAATATGCTTTTAAATGAAACCTTTATACATTTAAATTGCTAGAAATGTGTACACCCAGCAGTATATAAAAGAAGTCTGCATTAGCTCCTCTTTAAAGTACTGCAGACTATGCGTGAATCGCACATATTTTACTAATTTAATAACATAATCATGATGTAAGAAAAGAGCCACGGCGTTACTACGTTTGCATGTGCATGAACTGAAACTTTAATATGTATTTTAATGCAGATTTACTTTAGCTTACATAGGTTGGGTGAAAACACTACCTTTTCATAAAAAATAGAAAAATAAATTTTATTGATTTATTTTGAGTCAACTCTGACTGACGGTACACTAAAGTGCACCAGCCATGTTGCTCCCACACAGTAGGGGAGGGGTCAGCTTTGACGTTGCTATGCTTGCTGAAGAGAGCTTTGGTTCTTCGTGTTACATTCTTCACTGGCATCCAAATCTAGTAACTTAAGAAACGGTAAACGGGTTCAGCTTGAACCTAACAGCAGCAAGTGCTGGTTGAAAAAGGGATTGATACACAAAATAAAAATACAGCGAAGACAGTAGCGGGATAGAAGCACAAATACCAAACTGAAGATAACACAATGACACAATTAACTCTTGCACAAAATATACACATCATGTTCTCTCTAAGCATTGAACTCTTGTGTAATGAAACCAGCTATCGTGCCTTTTGTTTATTCACGTATAACAACAAACGAAACGGGCCCGCACATGGACTTCACTCTCTTGTCACCTTAAATAAGGCACATTAGGCAGAATTTGTTCAACGTTCAGTTTGTCACGAATGAGGTCCCAGGTTGGTGTGTCCCAAATGTTTCACATTCACCTCACGAGATGTCACTCAACCACTAGCTGATGAGTTGTTGCCTCTTCGATGCTGACCATCAGATCCGCTAGCCAGGGGGGAAACGGTTCCTCCTTTGAAATATGTTAGAGGGCATTAGTGGAAAAGAGATTTAATTAAGGTCCATATTTTTTTAAGTCAAGACAGCTTTGCTTAAAATTATACTCACAGCTATTAAATTCTTCTTAGAGCGTTCCCTTGGCTTCGGGACTGGCTGTTTACATCTTCTCGGTTTCTGCCACTTAATTTTGGAGGCCTTGAAGCAAAAATAAACTAGTCTTTTTTTCAGATTTTTTAAAATTATTATTATTTATTTAAATAGAAGCAAATAGTAAATACTCAGTAACACCTACCTTTATTTTCACCTTACTGCTATTGGATCTCCTTACATTTGTAAATTTCAGCTGTCCTGGTGTTGTAGCTTCACCACGTAGATGAAAAGAAAGCGTGCTCACATCAGACACGGAAAAGCTCTCGGTTCCTTCGTGTGGATGGTTTGAAAACTGGCTCAGGGAACGAGAGAGCCTCCCAGGTCTCAGAACCCTCAGTTGAGCAGCATCGTCATCTTTATCGCTCTCATCTTCTGCCAGCGCATCCTCTTCCTCCACACCTACTTGAAATGGAAAATCGCCCTCATTTCCTTCTCTTGTTCTGTTCCCTTCAGTTTCATCCTCAAGCTCTGACTCTTCCTGGATGGGCTCCAGACCAGGTCTCTGTTCCATCAAAAAGCCTATTTACTCATGACATTTACCATTTTTATCATTTGATTTACTTTATTCAAAGAATAGTGATAACAGATTAGGCTTACATTTGGCTGTTGAATGTCCATTTAGCTGGATGGCTGAGCTTTTTGGAACCAGAGTAAAGATACTGCAGTCTCTGGTGTGAGTGTGGCCTCCTTGTCATCAGTTGATTATTGAAATCAGGTGCAGAGGCTTAACATTTTTCACAGATGTTTTGACAGGTCATTGCAGGTGCATGAGAAAATTACTTGCATTGCCTAATTTTACAATATACATGCAAAATAAAGCAATGCAGCTTAAAGTCACTCAGCTTATTGTGACTATTATTGTGACAGCAATGTTAATTTTGCACCATTTACCATTTACCATTTACGGGGCGATCGTGGCTCAAGAGTTGGAAGTTCGCCTTGTAATCGCCTTGTAATAGGAAGGTTGCCGGTTCGAGCCCCGGCTTGGACAGCCTCGGTCGTTGTGTCCTTGGGCAAGACACTTCACCCGTTGCCTACTGGTGGTGGTCAGAGGGCCCGGTGGCGCCAGTGTCCGGCAGCCTCGCCTCTGTCAGTGCACCCCAGGGTGGCTGTGGCTACAATGTAGCTTGCCATCACCAGTGTGTGAATGTGTGCGTGAATGGGTGGATGACTGGATATGTAAAGTGCTTTGGGGTCCTTAGGGACTAGTAAAGCGCTATATAAATACAGGCCATTTACCATTTAAAAATTAATTAATTCCAATTGGCTAAAAAAAGAAACTAATAAGCATTCTTGAGGTTAGTATAGCAAATGCCTTAGTCTAACATCGTATCAAATGACTTCCAATTACTTAGTCTGATTAGTGAATACTTTCAGGTATATATCAGTTGTAAACTTATAGCATCAGTGAAATCATTAACTTCAGACTTTTCCATCATGTCACATATTAATAGGTATCAAAGCAAAAAAGGTCATATATCAATATGTTACAGCATTGTTCAGGAATGAAGATTTTGATCTATGTATTAAAATATCAATAAATAAAATAATAATTCTGTGTTGTGTATATAACCCAGGATGTGGAGTTATTGGTTAAGGTCCAATAGACTTAACCACAGTTTAATAAATATACAGGCAGAAGGCAGACAGTGTGCAAGATTTCCATTTGGTTGCCAACACATCAAAAATTAAATTTGTCTGACTATCATGGATTTCTGCATCTCTATAGACTACTGATGAGGAGAGAATGAATGCATATAAACTGTGGTCAAAATTCATTTTGAAGTAGAAATGTGTTACAAATGCTCTCTTTTTTTTCTTAATACAGACTAGCAAATTGTATTTTCTTTGTTCACAGAAAAATGTTCACATAAATCATTAATTTATGGGTATATATATATATAATCAAGTTACATTTTCTTGTTTGTGACATGTGCTATTTGTCTTTATGTAATTCCAACCATTCAGGAGTGCAACAACCAAATTACTCATTTCAATCCCCTTTGGCCCTGATGACACCATGACGAGACTTGCTCCTTAACTATTATTTGCAGTAGTTTCCCTTTACTGTTTGAGCTCGACTTCAATTAGAGTGAAGGTGACATGAACTTAAAAGCTCAATGATATCACCCCTTTTAGTAAATGAAGAACTTCATCAAGGTAAATCAACATAAAACTACATAAACGAAGCATTGTTTCCTCTCTCCAAGCCCATAAAAGAGCTAAATAGGTGAGCAAATGAAGTGTTTGTTGACTTAACTGTTACACTGAGTGAACCTTAAACAAACTTTACATCAGTACCAGGAAAACAGTTTTGGCCCCTGCCTCGTGTTTGACACATGATGACATCCATCTAGCCGTGGGCTGTCAAAGTACATTGACCGACATGATAAACATGTTATTGTCTTAAATAGTTTCCTGTTGAGAAAGAAAACTTTTACAGCGAAAGTGATTAAATAATGTCTGAGAAAATAAAAATAAAAAAGGTGATCTTTCACATTTGTAGCCAAAACTCAAGAAACTACTTTCTTTATCATAGCGATACTGATGATATTTTATACACCAATATTGTCTTTATTACAAAATATTCAATAACCCAACTTTACACTGTACAAGATACAACATAGTTTACAACTTTTGACTATTTACAAAAAGTATGATCTGCATATCAAAGTGAATATATCTAAAAAGGCAAGTTGCAATCACTGTAAGCTTATTGAGTAAGGCAAGAACTTGAAACGTGATGTATTTACACTTTTGCAGATCGAGTGAAAGTTCTATGTGCTGATAAAGATACAGGCTATAAAGATACTCTGAAGCGCATCATGTTTCTGCCAGTATATCTGAGAGATGTGCTAAAGCTAAAATTTCTCGTGGAAAACTCAAAAATGTAGCTGCTAGATAACAAAAAGCAATAGTACAGTAATGTATATGCCTGAAAGACGACAGCAGCGAGACACTGCAGGAAATCTTCTGTGGCCTCAAGGAAATGTAGTACTTACAGCATTTGAAATGTTTAGGCTAAAGGAGTTAGTCATGCATTTGTGGA